TTATATTATATGTAGTCAATCACATCATAGCAGTTCAGTGAAAAATATTGTATGAGATTTATCCTACATAGAAGTTTTTAAAGGGATAATAACTGTCTGTTTCCGCCAAAAAACTAATTTTCCTGGAGCAAACAACAATTCTCCCATACTTACCAATGGTTTTAACCATTTATTAAAATAAATCCATTTTTACATTCAAAGTAAGTCCCTGTTTTTTTTCTAAAAAGTTTGTTTTTTTTGTTAAAATCTCTTAAGAGATTTTAACAGAGTATAGCCATCAATGGTGGTCACGTGGTCTAAAGACAAGCTCAGATATCAGAATAACAGCTATAACTGCCGTTTTGTGGTAAAACAGAATATATTATATTTCTATGAGTTATTCACAATGTTTTTATTGTGAAATATAGATCTCATACGAAGAGTTATTATCCCTTTAAGCAAGTAGATTTCACAATATGTCCTTCTGTGCAACCTGATTATCCCACGGCATTTCTTTGTAGAAAAATTTAATTTTTGTTTTAAAACAATTCAAAATCATGGAAAATGGTCAATGTGACAAACATTCTAAACATGTAAAAGATAGGAAAACATATTTTGCAACAGTTATAATAAATAACAGTTTATTTCAAATCTGTCATTTGTTTAAGAATAGAGAGAAAAACAAGTTATATTTAGACATTATTTTATTAATATTATGCTTTATTCAAAATTTAGCATAGCTGTTTTTGGTGAATAAATTTTAGCATAGCTGTTTTTGGTGAATAAGTTTAATTGAAAAACATTTTGTTATTGTGACAAGTTCTAGCGATCAGATAACATACCAATGATTACAATAACTGTTTTACCACTCTAAAAATAATTGAAGTACAATGTTTTTTAAGAGGACAAAGCTCATGACTTTTAACGCACTTTTTATTATCATTTTAAAGTACATTAATTACTGGTTGTCGAACTTATCCAAGGCCAAGATTATTTTGATAGCGTGTTTTAGATAAAAGCCATGATTTGATGTTGCAAAACAAAATAATTGATCACTCCATTGGACACAGATAGTCATATATGAAACTTTTTCTCAGTTTTCTATTATATTGCCGTCAGCAGCAAGAAAAGAAATATTTTCTCAAAATGACTCACATAGACAGCAACAGCGACAGCAAACCTTCCTGAATACACGCGATTTGACGTGCTCTGAGTGGATAAATATAGAAGACAATTGTTCTCATAACGCAATTATACCATAATGGTATGATTATATGCAAAGTTAACTTTTTTTCCAAAATGCAAAAGTTTTATAAGAAGTTAATGATATATGTGTTGAGGATATTTTTGAAGATTAAAAAACAACAAGAGCGGAAATAAATATATAAATAAATATTTCAATATGACGTAAAAAGTTGTACAGAAAATGTAGAATAAATATATATTAAATGGAAAAATTGATATCGTTAAGTCACTGAAGTAGACGAGGTACTGCTAAGCCGTGGGTCTGAAGATCGTGCCGTGGGCCGCTGAGTCGAGTAGCTGCAGAGCCGTGGGTCGGTAGATCGTGCCGTGGGCCGCTGAGACGAGTACTGGTAGCTGCAGAGCCTTGGGTCGGTAGATTGTGCCGTGGGCCGCTGAGACGAGTAGCTGCAGAGCCGTGGGTCGGTAGATCGTGCCGTGGGCCGCTGAGACGAGTAGCTGCAGAGCCGTGGATCGGTAGATCGTGCCGTGGGCCGCTGAGACGAGTAGCTGCAGAGCAGTGTGCCAGTAGATCGTGCCGTGGGCCGCTGAGACGAGTAGCTGCAGAGCCGTGGGTCGGTAGATCATGCCGTGGGCCGCTGAGACGAGTAGCTGCAGAGCCGTGGATCGGTAGATCGTGCCGTGGGCCGCTAAGACGAGGTGATGCAGAGCCGTGAGTCTTTAGATCGTGCCGTGGGCTGCTGAGAGGAGGTGGGCCGCTGCTGTAGAAGAATATGCTGAGCAGTAAAACTGCCCAGCTTATATACGTGATGCAGGTAAAAATCGTTCTGTTCGGAAGAGTTCAAAAACGGGAGGGGGTAGTGTAAACCATCGCTGACAATATGACTTGTATCATTTTAAAACTTTACTAGCTGAAATGTAGTTCTTGGTTTCCCCCCAATTTCATCAAATATTGCAACTTACAATCTTGCACTGGGACTCAAAATGGCTGGAGACTTTTTTTATACAAATTTAATTGAAAAATTAACATCTAAGCCCCTGGACAGACTCTGAGGACAACAAACACAGTCTTTCTAATATTTCAAATGGAAATATCCACATCGGGTAATTTATTACAGGTTCTTTATCATTTAAAATCTCTGCGTTAGGAATGATACCAGTATGTAACTATAGGTTATTTACTCAGGATGGATATATTTACACACAAAGATTTCCAAACGCGTCGACCGGGTAGTACATGTTTAATTAAATTAAATAGTCCCTGGTACAGGAACTCTCTGCCTTTCAGGGTGCGACTATTTGATTTGCGGTGCGTCATTGGAACATGTCTGTGTTTACCCATTTTTTTAAAAATATGTACCAGGCTTGACCTTTTCCATTTCCACTACTCATCAACACCGGTGTCACGAAACTGAGGGTCCGTGTGACAGAAAGTCCTCCCTCCATATAGTTATAATGGTTAGGGTTAGTTTGACCTTAATAAGTCAAAATCTTGGGCGACGCTCATTTGTACAAATTAAAGTAATGGGAAGCCGACTCTCTCTGGGGGACTTTCTGGTACATGACACTGGGTTCTCATCTACCGCAATGGTTTCCCTGCTGGGGTGCAGACATGCTGTTTGTGTGTTGGGGGAGAGGGGTATGATAACCTTAAACAATGTCCATTGTAGGCCTATATAAACCGCATAAGACCGCGTTAGTGTAACAAAGTGGTGCACTTCAGACCTGCAACGTTACGGCTTACAAACCGCGAGCTTAATCCATACTTTTCCTCTGGTCTATCTAGTGTAACGTAATTTACAACATTAAGGCCCATTCACCAACGAAACTATCGTTTTAAAATGTTTTAACGTAATTGTATAATCACCATGCCGGAAGGAGGCGTGCTCAGAAATCCAGGGTTTAGTCTTAAATAAAAAAACAGACAGCCGAACAACGACCCCAGCACTATTGGAAAAGCCTTATATACTGAGATGTCACATGACACGGATGTCGGAAAACAGAACGAGGGAACAAAGACAAAACACCAATAAGAGGGCGTCACAGAAAGTGGTATCAAGTCAAGACAAGATAACTCAAGACGGATGCACATTTACACACAGTTAAATACACTAATGCGTGTAATTGGACACCACACAAGTTAGCCAACTTTAAATATAAGTGACCCCATTTGTTTACACAGTCGTGTCATAAAAAAAATCTCCCTCACGCAGAACTTTAATGTGAGGAGACATTAAATCTATCTTTATTCGTCTGGGGGACAATCTCAGAAATAGATACATGTGTTAACAGTTCACTGTGTCACTATATACTGAAGCGAGTCAATATGTTAACTTGTATATACTACCCTTTTAAGTTTCATTAAAAAACCCATTCATCCATTCATTCATTCATTCATTCATTCATTCGTTTATTTATTCAGTCAGTCAGTCATTCACTATTTCATTTATTCCTATTCCTCATTCCTAATAAAAAAAGATACAGCCGATTTAATAGAGGTTGTTCTGTATAATAATGAAGAGGGGAGTATGAGATCTGCAGCGAATTGTTCATAAACCACGAGCTTAATCCCAAAATTTTCCTGATCTATTTTGAGAAATACTTATCTACGATCCCATGCTCTCTTTTCATAAATTTGAATGGATGGAGGTCTGAATTGAAAAATGTAAATCCCACTCATCCATAAGAAGCACAGCCTACTACAAAAAGAATGTGATTATTTACTCGGTTTAAAAAAAATAAAATTCATTGTGACGAGATATTGGATACCCCACTGCTAGATCTTAAGTATGGAAACTATTGATATAAGTGACCCTATTTGTTTACACAGTCATGACATGTAGGTCACAATGCTCCTTTAAAGAGAACTTAAGGCTGAAGTTGAAAATGTGGGCAAACTGTACCCTTACCAGGTTCACATATTGTTTTTTCACTAGACGTTCACAGATATATTTTAGATAAACCATGGCAACATTTTCAGCTGACCAACGGGATTTAGGTATAGAATTAATGATCATCAGCCAATTGGCCTCTGGTATAGAGTAGGGAGACAGCAGTGGGGGCGAATACAGTTGTTGTGTATCATTGTGTTTCATGAAATGCTGTAAATGTAATGTAAGTAAGTGACAGCATGCAGTGAATAAGAGCGGGGAGTGTTTAGTAGAGTAACTTAAGTTGATTGACATACTCTTATGGTATTTATACAACTGCGCTTAGTGTGAACAGAGAGAAGGCCGCTAGAGATTGCATGAGGTAGGAATAGAAATGAAGGAAGCGGCGCGGGTAATAACTGGACAGTAGTTCAATAAATAATAAGGAAGATAATATCTGAGTTGTATTTGCTACCTTGCGTAACATGACGAAGACAAGCCAATAGCTTCGTCACATATACATACATTGTACATGGGAAATGCTCATATAAAGAGATTTTAACGTCTCATTGTACCTCCAAATCCTGAAACTAGACAGTATGCTTATTTGTATGTAGGGTCTTTCCAATTTCTTTAAAAAAACTCATCATCCATCCACTCATTTATTACTTTCATTCATTTGATCATATGATCGTATTTATAAACTCTTTCAATTTGATTTAAAACAAGTTAAATAGGTTGTATCTCTTTTTCTTGCTTGTTTATTTAAAAACGAAATAAATATCGCCTAAGATTTAATATATGCGAAACATATGAGCACCTACAGGTAAGGTAAACACCGGATCAATACTCACATACCTGTTGACGTACTTCTTTATGGAATGTCGCAACAGAAAAATCCCCGCATAAAAATAGTTTTCGGAACTGTAGTCATAGTGACAACAAACAGACATTGAAAGACAGCTGCAATGATTTTGGGATTTCCCGTAGATATTTAGAGCTAATAGGAAGGAAAATCTTTCCAGCAGTTTTCGTCATGGCTAACAGGAGAGGTAACAGGTAAGCTTATGAAACTATTTACTATGTACATGTCACAATCGCGACATTTATGGAAAGTTAGACACGTACCTGTTCAGGACGCAAACCCAGGTGGAATAATGTTAACCCTCGCAACAACAATGTGCTTAAAAAGATGGTAAAGGTACTTCACCCTCCGTTGATTTTAAACGGTTAAAATGTGAAAAACAATAACCGCGCCCGTTTATATTTTTATAATTAACGCTGTCGCAAAAAACTACTGATGCACGAAACCTGCGCAGATCGCAAAAAAAGCTAATATGAGAGGACCTACTTAATACAAATAGGTTCAAAATGTGAAAAATAATCATCCGGCTTTTCTTCAGCCAGATCTTTAAATTACAAATCAGTGTCTTCTACAGAGGTAAGGGGCGGTTCTCATAAACCAATCGTACTATCTGAATCGATTAACTTCACAGGGATTTAACTAAAATGCATTCAGTGTAAGCGTCTTAATTGACTGGCACGCCCACTGAATTCGAAGCTGGTAAGGGGTGATAACAATCGATAGTCAATTACCCCTTAGAACTCAAGGTGGCTTATGGGAACGCAGTCTCAAGTTTCAGAGGTCACTGGAAAGTTACCCCTAATTATCAGCAGGACTCCGTCGTTTCCAAGAACGAATGCGGTAAAGTGGTAGAAGAAGGCGAGTTTTCAGGGACCCCCGTAATTCGGTGATCCTCGGGATCTACGTAATCATTTGTGTTAATTAAGCTAGAGTTTGAGCAGAAACAAATTCGGGTATAAACGAAAAAAGCGCCATATTTTAATGTTAAGACTTTTCTATCGTACGTGAGAATTGACGAAATATACTGACATTATATTTACCAGGTAGATGACCTTTCTTAAACATTTTCCAAATTTTGAACAAAAAAAGACTTAAACATCTAAATTCACAGACATGATTGTCATAGTGGTTATATTCTACGGTTAATTCAAGGGTAAGTCATTCCACGGAACTTTTTATAAAGCCTTTTTTAACTGGGTCAGTTTACATGTAGACCTTATATTTATGTTTACGTTCAATTTTAGATATCCTCCGTGTGAACGACGACCGAGACGAAACGTTGAAAATACTGAAGATATGGAAAAATTCTCAAAATACTTAGCAGAGATGCTACCTAAGGAGATGTTTTTTATGAAAACGTTTCACCAGGGAGTTAAAAACCTATTTGGGATTGATTTAGTTCGGGATGAAAAGGAAATCAAAGAGATGTGCAAAATTCTCAAGGATGCAATAATCAAATTCAGTGGTGGACATGATACATCTGAAAATGGCCTACTTGCACTAATGGGGAAATATTTTGGTGACTTTTTCTTTACAAACATCGGGTGTTATAAACATTATCCTCATGAATATATTGAACAGATTGAATACAATGTACTTCAAAAGTTCTTTGGACATTTCTTTCCAGCGATGAAAGATGCGGCCAAAAGCATACATGTCAAGTTTCTGGGTAGCTTTTTTGACGGCCTTGGAATCCCATTTTTGTTTGACCGGGAGCATAAAGCCCACCTTGAAATATCAGATGCGGATGTCATGATAGTACTAACACCGCCATTTTTCCCCGCGGTCTCGTCTAGTAGAGAGCAAGTGTCAACAACAGAGGCAGCGTTGATCGTGGATGGTCATGGATGTCATCCCGGTTATGTCAAACTGAAGATCCAAAGCGAAAATCATATGCTTCATCTGCCAGGCATTTTTGAGCATGATCATGGGGATATATGTCTGAGCAACAGAAGTATGAAATACTGCATCGAAAATCCGGCACCCGGGTTTGAAAAACTGAAAATACTGTGGAAAATGGTTAATGTAAGCTTTAATGGCCCTGCGGTGTCGTACAAATTGCCATTTTTTTCTGGTGTCAAACGCAATATTGTTCTGACAGGCGATATTGTTGGGTCATTTCCGTGGAATGAGTTTCCTCGCGAAGCAAACGAGTGGCTTAGTCGCAAAAGATCGAGCGGTTGGCCTAGTACGGAGCAAGTTAGGACCGTGGAAGAATTTGGATGCCATGTTGTTCCAGTTGCCAATCCTGGTGATAGAGATAGTCGAACCGAATGGAGGATCTCTTTTGCTTCAGGTGAGCGTCACCTTGCCTTGTCCTTAAATCAAGGCCAGCGCCGTGTTTACCGCATCATAAAACTGATACATAAACAGAGGCTGGGGGACCTCGGCGTCCTTTCTACTTACCACCTTAAGACAACGTTACTCTGGTTATGTGAGCGCATCCCACAGGAAAGGTGGACAGAACAAGAGATGGGACAACGTTTTTACGATTTTCTCGACCTCTTGATTGATTTTCTCTCCAAGAAGTGCATTCCAAACTACTTCATACGGGAAAACAACATGATAGATTACATGGATGAACAATTAGTCAATGAAAATGCTAAAATTTTGTGCGAGATCCGCAAAAATCCAAAAGCAATCCTCGACGAAATCCAAGCAACATATGACCTCCGCTTTGATCTAGTGGAATACTTGTTGTCAAAAACTCCTTTCAGAGATGTTTTGAAGGAGCTTGAAACACAGCAGGTGCGCGCAGGATCACCAGAGGATAAAGGTGCAGGAGACTTGCTTAAAGTCATGAGAGAGATACTGATCGACTCGTCAGAAAATGACTCGGACAGTGTCTTGGGGGCAGTCGGGGGAGCGGTAGACGCCTTTTCAAGGAAAGACCCGGACAGTCCCTTTAAACTAATGAAAGAAGTTGGAAAGGGGTTGTTGAAAATAGCCTTGAAAGATAAAGTCGAAGCAAAAGCAAAACGAACAACTCACTCAGCTTGCAATGATAAGCATGGGACGGCAGCGAGAAAAAAGGTGGACAGTCCCCAAACAACAAACATTGCAGAAAACATGATACATAGAAAGCATGTAATAGTGACTGACTCAATAGGACAGGACCTTGATGGCAACAGGATGGACAGATCCTACGTGAAAGTACTGAGAGAAAAAACTATTGCAGACGCACATGACTATATAATCAAATCAAACCTGGGAAATCCAGAATCTTTGACTTTTATTGTGGGGACAATTAGCATTGATCACCAAAGTGTTGCAGACACCGTCGAAGAGTTGCAACAGCTGCGACAGACAACAGAAACGAAATATCCAGACTGTGAAATATATTTCACAGGGATCCTGGATCGTCAACATAATCAAAGTTTTAACGAGAGAGCAAAGCGGTACAATGACCTTGTTCAAGCAGAACTCGAAGGCCATCAGAAAGCACATTTCATCGCAGTAAATGAGGTAATAAGCTCCCCAGATTACTACAGGGAAGATGGATTTCACCTCAGTAGGAGGGGCACAAGCCTACTAGCACAATGTTTAAGGGATGCACGCACTACTGCTCCACCGCGATCTACTACCGACGGTCCATAAACTTTAAACCAGGATAGACTAGACAAGAGATTCTTAGCAAATTAAGAGATCATGATATTGCATTGCATTGTATTGTATTGTATTGTATTGTGCTTTGCTACACTGTAGTGTAGTTATTGTGGATTTATGCAATAGCGGGTACATGTTGTGCCACATCACACTTTCAACTTCCGTTACTTTGTTCTTGCCGAGTGAAATGAGTTGAATTATGTATCACTTCTTTTCAAGACAGAATGAATGGCAGCGATTTTAAGTTTTTCTGGTTTAAATATCACATTAGCCCAATTTATTGTAGATATAAACCCAGCGTCACTTGGTGTGTCAATTAACATATATTGGTACTTAACGTGCCGTAAAATAATTTTATCATTTCCAATGTGCTAGCAGTATATAGTGTCCTTTCAAACTAGACCACTATGAGCCTTGGTCATTTGTATGTAGACAATGTATGTAGAAAATGTATGTAGAAAAGGTGCACCCTGTTTGTGCTTATGTTCATATCATCAACTATATGCTTCCAAAGTAACGTGTTTTCAGTCAGTGAACATGAATCAATTTATCAATTTATGTTCATATGGTGTATAAACATAGTTGACTAGATTGCAATGTTATGATATCTCACTGGGCTCACTAAAACACAGGTAATATTTATATCAGTTTTACGCATTTGTTGTACATAGAACCAAGTTTTATTTATTAGGAAAATAAATTCAAAGGCAGATAGTCGACTGCGTTGCCTCAATTCTGGTACATTTTTAATCCAATAAATCCGCACACAAAAAAGAATCTAAACGTGATTAACCTTGTAATTGAGATCCAAACTTAAAAAGCTTTAAAAAGTTTAGAAAAAACACGATATAAACTGATGAAGATATCTTTGGGGAGCCTTATTTAGGGTTTGAATTGATACAATTCTTTCATTCTTATCATAATTTTGGCTCCCAGGCTATTTCTAATAAATTTGACCTTATTTCTCAATGCAAACCCTTGGTCTGAACTTCTCCATTGCCATCGCTGTCTGGTTCTCATCTACAGCAATGGGATCACTTCTCGGGTACAGACATGCCGTTTGGGTGTGTTGGGGGAGGAGGGTCCGAAAACAGTGAACAATATACATTGTAGCCCTATATTAAAACCGCATCAGTATGAATAAATAGAGCTTGTTCTGCAGTGTAATAAAAAAGGATAGTATGAGATCTTCATAAACGAGATAATCCAAAACTTTTCCTGGTTTATTTTGTGAAAAATATATACAGACTTGACATTTAATATGGAATATTTTTTTCGAAATAATTTTTTATCAGTTTTTTCCTATTTTGCTCACTGATAAATGAAAATAAGGATTAAAATCGTGTTTTAATAACTTTAAATCATCTCTTTGATGTCATTGTGACATCAGTTCATTAATGGAATTATCCAGAGAAGCAAACAAAAACACATTGCCTACTCTATGTCATACGACAACCATTAAAAGAGATATTTTGGATCTCCATATTTTACAAATTATCGTCTGTAAAAGGGTAATACGCTCCACAAAAGACCCTCATGTCAGTTGCTAGTCACAGTAATGGTCGTTGTAACGCCTGGCCTCTTCGTGGCTGTTGCCAGCGCTCTCAAGCGACAAGGCATTTCTTGGGGGTAGGTTTTTAGAGTTCAATCTGTAATAGCATTCCAGGCAACGGTCTAAAATTGTCCAATCTGGTCCAGTTTTGTTGTAGGACATGTAGGCAGTTGATTGGTGAGTAATGGTCTACCAAAACATTGTCTATGTGGTTCAAATGTGGCGATTTTGATGACCAGGGTAGCTGCTCATTCCCTTGGTTCTGTAAGTTATCTGCTATTAAAAGTAGTCTGTGTGAACCTGCAACCTCATCGTGCAACCTAGAATTGTTCCTAAGGTGCCCCCTATCAAATGATAGACATGTGGTTCCGAGATTATTCCTTTATTTGATCTGGTTCAGGTTTTCGTCGATGACTACCATTGGTGTTTTGGCACATATGTGGAATCTACTCCAAATACTGACGCTGTCAATCACCCTTGTCACTTTAGACCCGGCATATGCTTCGTCGTAGGCCTCTTCTGGATATCTGTAAACTCTGTTTTGACTTATTGGGCGGTGCAGGTGAAATCTGACCTCAATAAAGAAAGCCACGCAGTTTCATTGTTCTATCCAGAATCGTTCATGGCCTCCAATTCATTAGAGAAACAGACGACGATGTTTTGCTGTATACAGTGGGTACCTCGGAGGTCATTTGGTGTTCTTACCTGCTAAAACCAGTTTGGTGTTCGCTAAGGGCTTTAAAAACGCATTTTAGTGGCAATTTACCCCTCGTTCTGATCGGACTAAGTGTTTTTTGTTTAGTTGCAGCACCGTATCCCGAAAGACAGTGGGTCATGTACCCTGTAGGTAAAATTGTGATACATTGGGGGTGACCTCTGTGTAGGTACATCAGTCTGGGCATTACTCTATAAAACTGTGGGGACCGTTCCGTTTGGCGCTATGATCTGTCTGGTTATGTCTGCGTTTTTCGCGCCATTCTGCCTTAGATTAACAAATTTGTAATGCACTACTTAACTCATCTTACGCACTGCAAAACTGACCGCTTGCATGCAAAATTTCAAATTCTTCTATGCAGTAGTTGCCGAAATATGGATACTTTTTTGACAGAACCAAGCTTTGCCTAAGCGAAGCTTTGATCAGCCCAAAGGAACACTACCCAATTAAAACACTGCACATTACATAATGTAGCAGCGCAACAGGCTTGAAAGTCAGTTAATTGGTAGCGACACACCTGACTGCACACTTTTACATTCACAAATCTTATATGAGATCGGAGTTTTTTGAAAAAAGAACGTATTTTTACCTAGGTATACCTTCGAAACTGAAATATTCCATATTAAATGTCAAGTCTGTACAATCTTATGTTCTGTTTTCATGAATTTGATTGTATGAAAATGAAACGAAGTGGATGGTGGCCTGATATGAATGACATAAATCCCACTCGCATGTGCTTATTAAGTGCGACCACACTCGGTTTAAAAATTAAAATGCATTGTGGCGAGATATTGGATACCCCACGGCTAGACCTCAAGTAGGCCAACTATTGATGTAGGAAACGCAATTTGTTTACCAACTCGTGTCATAACAATGCTCTTGTAAGCAGAACTTAGGGCTGAAGTTGGAAATGTGGGGATACTGTACCCCTACCTGGGTCACATATTGATTTTTCACCAGATATTCACTAGTGTACCTTTAGGTAACTCATGGCAACTTTTTCTGATGTCCAACGAGATTTTGGTATTAAATATATTATCATCACTCAATTGGTCTCGTGTATATAGTGGGAGATCGGTGAGGGCGAACACAGTTGTTGTGTTTATATCCATATTGTTAAGTTTTGTGAAATGCAACCTTTATTCATACCTGGGAAATGCTCAGAAATAGATGTGCCTGTGCCTCCAAATACTGACACTATAGTCAGTATGCTTACTTTAATGACCTTTTCAGTTTCTTTGAAAACCCTTTCACCCATTTGATCATATATTCCTATCTATAAACTCTTTCGGTCCGATATTAAACAATCAAAATCAGTTGTATTCCTTTTGCTTGCTTGTATGTTTAAAAACGAATTAAATATCGCCTACGGTTAAATAAATGCGAAGCATTTCAGCACCTACAGGTAAGGCAAACACTGGATCAATAATCATATGCCTGTTGACGTACTTCAATATTGAATTTCGCAAGAGAAAAATCCACGCATTAAAAGGCATGTTTTGAAACTGTAGTCATAGCGACAATAAACAGACAAGTGAAAGGCAGCTGCAGTAATTTAGGGTCTTTTCCACGGATATTTAGGGCCTATACGAAATCGAAGTGAATCTCTCTCTCCGTATATAAGTGTTTTCTGACAATAATCACCATGGATAAAAGAGAAGACAAAAGGTAAGGTTGCTTTATGAAACTGTTCCTTACGCCATGTTACATATATATGGCACAGGAGCAGTCCCAACCCAGACATAGTCTAAACCCACTAATCCCAATATGGCATAAGCATTAATTGTTTATAGCAGCACACCTTCATATTATAACTAATTTACAGGTAAGAAGACGGTTACCAGTAGTTTGGAGTTTCACCTGAAAGTAAGGCCAGAGTGTGTTAGTCGTGCCATAACAAAATAGGAATGTAAGCAAAACTCAAGTAAAGGTTATTATTTGAAATGCAGGGATATATTTAGAGATCGCAGTCGGGGTGAATGTTGTGTTTAATGATCTCTGTGCTGCGTTTAGTGTTGACTAAATTCATCTGGAAATGCTTAGAAATAGAATGTAAAGGTGGCACTTTTTTAAATTTAATAGATTGAACACCTATACGTGAGGGCCTATAGAAAAGGTTAACAATGGAGTAATAAAGACCAAAATAAATTATTAAGCGTAAGATTGAATAAATATACTTGAACACTTGTAAAAAAGGCAAACAATTTAGCCAGGTGCTCACGAATTTTAATATGAAAAGAATCACCGCATATAAGTAAGAATGTTTTGTAATCGTAGTCACGGAGACAATAAACAGACGCTGACATATTACTGCGGGGATTTATTCTATTGAAAAAAACAGGGGTCTTTTCCATACTGATATATACATATCTACTACGCAGTTAAATTGCTCTCCAAATTTAAGGATTTCTGGCAGTTATCATCATGGATAAAGGTGGTTGCCACAGGTAAACATGCTTCATGGAATCGTTCGCAACATCACGATACCTGTGTATGGTAGGATTGGTTTTGTTTTGCGAGCTTTGTTTTGTGATGGCTGATTCTCTATAGGAAAACATCGATCAATTTAAGCGTAGATTACATTTGCCACGGGGGCCGTGCGATAAAATCGTAAACGATTGTCCGTATTTTTTTTTTTTTTTTTTTGACATCGTAAGGGGCTACGGGTTACGCCAAGTATTTTTACAATACAAACGGTTATCGTGCCATTTCTCCCACAAGACCTTGAAGCCATGTCATGAAATATTAGTATGTCGGTTGCAAAGCG